GGAAAGAGATGCTCAATGATGTCTTCAATCTTCAATCCAAGGCAAATCTCCATGTTCCTCCCTCAAGAATTCGACCCTAGGTCTTTTGGAGGAGAGAAAATCGCCTCCTTTGCTTTCCCAAATCGAGCTCTCCCCAAAAGTCCGAAAAATCGGACTTAACTTGTTTCTAGGTCACGCGGTCCGCCGGACCAAATCTTGGTCCGGCGAACCGGACGTAAAAATGAAGCCGGACCGCGACGCAAAAACTGCTCCTGGTCCGGCTGACCAAAACTGGTCAGCTCCGGACCAGGTCTTCAGAGGGTTCCCGCGGCTGACTAGGCGAGAGACTGGCGGACTGGGGAGTGGCTAAGGCGGTCTGGTCCGGCGGACCTGGGTAGGTCAGCTCCGGACCAGATGTTGATTTTTCTTGGTCAGCTCGACGGACGGAGCGTGCAGGTGGACTGGGGATGCTTCTGCTGGTCCGGGTCTGACCAGACGTGGTCAGCTCCGGACCGGAAGAGTTCTTCATTTTCTTCCTCATCTCCTCTCCTCGGTGCGACTCGATGTGCTGGGCAGACTTGGTCCGCCGGAGTGCATTCGGGTCAGCGGCGGACCAAACGCTTGTTTTCTCCGTTTCTCGCCGAATTTGTGCGTTATGCCCTCGGGGTTCTGCCAAAGTCAAGAGATAGTCCCGAAACCCTAGAATGACTCTAAAAATGCCTAAGAATGTGTGGAAACCGTTTAGAAACCAAAGGCATAATCGTATAAAATCCAGATAAAATCCGAGCCATCAAATCCCCCCAGACTTAAATCTTTGCTCGTCCTCGAGCAAATAAAATCAATGAAACACGAAGTCTGAGAAGGACGGTGAGTTAGAAATTGGTCTTTGATGAGTTTCAAGATGTAGCTACATGTCCACTGCTCAACTTATGGGAGTAGAATCGAATCTAGGCTACTCTAGCTATTCTCTCTTGTCAGCTAAACTTTCCTAAGTATGGGATTTCTATGTCGTCCTTAATCTACCATAAGAGTAATTCCAACTTCCAAGCACTCTCCTGAACCTATTTACCGTTCTTCTCCTCTAAGATATTTTGTCTCTTTATTTATTTTGTTCACACATTTTCTTTTATTTTTAAATTTTTTTTTTCAAGAGAATGCTAAGAGAAGTAGTATCCCGAGTTCCTAGGATGTTGAAGTTGACAAGTGTCTCCGCTTTTGCTTTTCTCTAATGATCATGACATTTGTCCCACAACTTAGACCCGAACCGTCGAATTTCGACGCACTCATGTCATCGAATGATTTTCATTAACGATATAGTGACAGCGGAGTGTTGGGATGTGTATACTTTCTTCGCTTATTCCTACCACATTCTTTCTAAGAGACTATCTATCCTATGGGAGAAGCTTCGGGAACGGTTTTAGGGAGATATTTAACCTAGGTTCGGTCGGTCCTACTCTTTGGCATACAAAAGACAACAATATACCCCACAACCTAGAATTGCAAGCATCAAAGAGAGTGTTCGCTATTCACCTATCATCGACAATCTACTCGAACACCTAGATGTCTAAATCCAAATCGCTAAGCAATCTCTAAGCAGCTATCACCATCATCTCATCATCGACCAATCTCAACTCAAAACGGTTTATGCAATGCATATGCTCCTACATGTTCTAGACCTATATGTAACAAATGCAATGCAAGACACAAATGTAATGCAAGGCTAGGTGGTGCCTATATGTACAAGTGCAAGAAATGCAAGTGTGGAATGCATCTAAAGTGAGAAATCACTTTTTTTTTATATGCAAGTAAATGTGTGAATACACTCCCGGCATATAACTCACTATCTAAAGTTCTCTAAATCCATATCCCTATATGATTTATCAAACTAGATGCATGAAGAACACTATCATCAATCCTAGATCGATCAAACCATATTCCTATGTGAATAATACGATCTATTCTATCGATTTCGATCCGAAACTAAACCCATATTCCTATGTAGTTCAGAATCTGAAATAATTGGTCAAGGGGTCAGCAAACACCAATCGAATAAAGCACAAATCGATAAAACCGAAACAAATCCAAATCGCAACCAAGTTAGGGTTCAAACATACCCAAAACACAAACGAATCCCTAACCCACAACCGTGGATCTACTCACGGTTCATGGAAAACAACAAAAAGCTCAAAAGAAAAGAGATAAAAGAGAGGAGAGAAAAGCTCATGTAGATGTGTAGTCTCCACGATCGAATCTTCCTTCTTCTTCCCGAAATCCCGTGAACTTCTATTCGTCTCTCACCAAAAGCTCTCCAAAAGTCTGTATCTAAGTGTTTTCTAAGGCTTCCCCCTGTTCTAGGACGTGGCTAGGTCTATTTTATAATCCTAGGGCGGCTCCCAAGAGTTCTCCTTTCTTTAGAACTCTAAAAATTGCGAATTAGAGTTTTTCTGGGTTTTGGCTCGACCGAGTCAAAGTGTTGACTCGGACCGAGTCAAGTCGGGCCCATCTGACTCGAACTCTTCACGAATTTGCTCATAACTTTCTGCTCCGGTGTCATATTTACGTGATTTTGTGTCTGCGCGAAGCTCTTGAAGTGCTCTTTCCAATGGTACCAGTCTCGCATGATTTGGACTTCTGTAGAGAAAGTTATTGATGTCGCAACATGAGTATCTCATCCGGACTTCTCCTCTAACGCTCCAAATAACTCCTTTTCGAGTCCAATCATGTTCGAAACCTGTAACTCTGCAAAACTAGAGCACAACCGGGTTTTGTGTCCTAACACGCCTAGAATGCCTATGAATGCATGTGATTATCCTATAAAACCTAGACAAACTCTCATCAAAATATAGAGAAGAATAGGAGTTATCAAATCCCCCCAGACTTAAACCTTTGCTCGTCCTCGAGTAAAGAACGAAGGAATAAAATCTGCAAAACAGGGAATGACGAACATCAAATAGCATCATCATGAAACTCAAAAGCGAAACGTCCATCCAATGCTAGTTTTCCGAGAATCGTACCCAAACCGGTTTACTATGATCTTTCTACCAAAGACTAATCTACCTAGCCATGACATTTTTATTGTCACCTAGAACCCGTTAGAATCTCTACAACTCACCAAGCCTATTTCCGAACCTATCCTTATCTCAACTTAGCCTTTTCGATCTTAATTCTACTTCGTACCTGGATTTTTACCTTTCTGTTGAATTTTTCTATTGAACGCTAGCATCTCGGGTTTCTAGGACGTTGAAGTTGAAGGACATCGTTTTTCTCTTCTCTTTTTTTTTTCTTTTCTTATATATTTTTTTTTCTTTTTATGCGATGTCCGACCCACAACTTAGACCCGAACCATCAATTGATGCACTCATGTCCTCGAACGATTTTCGTTGATGAGATTTTGACAGCGGAGTATCGAGATGCTTTATTTTCCCAAGGCATTTGTTGAACTAGATTTCATTGACCTGCAAGACTCGGAAAAGATTCTAAAAGAAACATATAACCTGAATATAGTCGTTTCAACTCCGTAGGTTCCAAATAACAACCCTATCCCACAAACTTTATATAGAAAGTCTGGAGAACTATCAATT